ATGACATATCTGATGTTTTCCAACTTAGAGTCAGAAAACTGTGTTCATCAGATGTCACAGGTCAGAGTAAAGAGTCTATTCCTGACAGTCCTGTGGTGGCTCTCAGTCTCCCTACAAGGTTTTTCCTTTCACTGTGAAAGAATCACCAGTCAACCTAACACCACTAACTGCACATCTTTGGACTGTGGGAGTACGTGGCAAGAACCCACACAGACACTGGGAGAGCATACAAACTCCACACAGAAAGGCCTGTGTTTGCAGTTAGCACTTTTGCTTCAAAGCAAGAAGGTTCTGGGTTTGAATCCACTACCTGGTTCTGGTTTTTCTGTGTGGAGTTTTATATCTATGTATAATATTCATGTATTTTCAACATTATCTAACGTACATCTAAGATGTTTCTTATGATACTGATCGGAAATCATTAGTGTTCTGAGGGTTCCTCTTCTGGTGGTTTCATATCAAGAGTGTTCAGGTTCATGTTTATATCTCCTGATGATTTTTGTTACTGTGGTTGGTTTTGCTTTACACTGGATAGTCTCAGATACACCATGCTGCTTCTGTTGTGTCTGGTGATTTTGCTTTTTAGTCACGCCACTCAGTCAGAACAGAGAGCTGCCGTCTCTGACTTTGGTTCTGCTGAAGGTTTCATCCTGTCAAAGGGAAGGAAAAAGGTGGCCATCAAATCGAGTTAGGGAAGGGTCTTTAAGTTGTTGACCCAGGTATGCTTTGTCCCAGTTCTTTAAAAGTTATACTACAAACATCATCTTTGCTGTTTCAGTAGAGTTCAGTTTGGGTTTCTTCTGGTGCCGTGTTCTCTTATACTGAATCTGATGAAGAAATCTATATGAAACACCGTTGTTGTATGCTACATTTCAAAACTTATATATTCACCACAGCAGATCCACATCAACACTGTTCATTAATACAAAAGTAAAGTAGCCTAGTGTATGTGGATTGTATGTCAATGTTTTTCCTCTTTCTCATCGTTGGTCCTCCTCATGAAAGCTTCAAGGAAAATGTTTAGGAAAAAGGGAAATGACTGTTTGACCCTGCTGTTGTCTCTTGTACTGATAAACTCTCTGACTAAAGCATGTTTTAAATACTTCCAGATGTGTTTGCTTTTATTCACTGTTTGAGGATCAACATCCTTTTCTCTGGAACACCTAGGAAAGAGACAAATAAAATACTTGAACTAAGTTCTCTATCTCAAAATAAAAAACAAACAACACATGTTTTTTAAAGCTATGTTCTTGAAACATACAGACTCAAGGTAGACTCAAAATATTGATGGTTGATTGCTAGTGTTTAAATGTATTTATACATTTATTCTCTGATATGTTTGTTAGAGGTTATTGCATTTTTTAAATTTGTATTCACACGTGGAAGAATCACAAGCATCATCATGTCAGTGAGATGAACATTATATTCTTGATCATCTACTGCCCACTGTAGATTCCTGTAAAACTGTATGGCTGAAGGTTTTATATAGCCTCTCATTACTTAAACCACTGTGTGTCTGGCACAGTAATACACAGCGGAGTCCTCTGGCTTTAAGTTGGAAAGCCTCAGATACACTATGTAGTTGCTGTCATCTCTACTGACTTCTATACGTCCACTCAAACTACTCGCATATTTGTTGTTGCTGGAAGGTTTCCTATCCATTCCAGTCCTTTTCCTGGTTGTTGTCTTATCCAGCTCATAGCACAGCAGGTAAATTCAGAACCAGATCCCCTGCAGGAGAGACTGAGAGTCTCCCCGGGCCTTTTCATTACAGGACTGGAAGGAATGGACTCCAAATTCTGACCTGTAACACCTGACTGACACAGTTTTCCTGGTTATTGATGAAACAGTAAGAAGCAGAAGCACTCACATGGCGGAAAGAAAGCAAACAGAAGCAGAATGAGTGTGTTTGTCATCCTGAGCCTAAAGATTCTCCACTGCTGCTCTGATGAGCAACACAAAGTATAAGATGGGTCAGCAGGACAGAAGTACACTTCACACATTTGCATTTGCATCAGGATTTGATTAATTGAATGTGTCTCTGGAACAGTAATACACAGCAGAGACAGTGTTTCTTCATAGTGAAGAAGCAGAAGCACTCACATGGCAGAAAGAAGTCAGTGTGTTTGTCATCCTGAGGATTTAGAATCATCAGTTTACATGAAAAGCATCTCTTTGGACTGTGAGAGGAAGTAGAAGTCCAGGGTGAGAACCCACAGGCACAGGGAGAACATGCAAGTTTCACATAGAAAAGGCCCAACATGGATACAAACCCAGGACCTTCTTGCAGTAAGGTGACAGTACAAACCACCTTCTTATGCACCTTATTTGACTTTTTTTTTTTTAAACATAAGAAGCCAACACTGGATCATTCATGTAGTCATGGTCAAAGATTATTTCATTTTTAAAAAGTTGAGACAGGGGCAACTAATCAATTGAGAAGGTGTGTAATGCTAATAAAAAATCATCTACTGGAACATTTAACTAATGACGTTCATCAGTAACAATAGCTTAGTATAAAAAGAACATCTTTGAGAGGCTAAGACAGAAGTAAAGATGTGGAGGGTCTCACTAATCTGTGAATTTGGCAAATTCAATTCACATTAAGCATTTTCCTTTATCTGTAACATACAATCAATAACCACTTCAGAGAATTGAAGACATTTTTGTACAAAAGGGACAAAAACAGTTAGCAGGTGGCACTGAATGAGGACATGATTCTGTACTGAAAAGCACAGAAATTCATGGACATCACATGTACCAGCATTGTCTCCACGTAATAGAGCAGCATTGTTTCTTTGTAATTAGTTCTGCGTTATTGTCTGTTTGTTATATTCTGAGAAATTTGAAGCATACACTCAAAGGAGGACTTAAATTATCTGAAAATTGGTATATTATTTATAGCACCCCAATGCAGACTTTCTTTATGAACAACTGAGAATGATTCACATCTTCTACAGTGACTCAGCTTCTTTGGAAACACAGTCATATTATTTGTGATTCAAATCCTGACAGACTACTGCGGGTGTTTAATTCTGTTTCAGTTCTGACCTCTGTGAACCAGATTTAAACTGCTTCTTATTACTCCTTCCTAATCTGCACAGGAAGATGTGAGTTTGCATAGTGGGGGGAAAAAAAAGTTTCAAACTAAAAAAAATCACATTTGCACATGTTTTTGGTTGTGCTTGTTAAATTTCAGTTTCATGCCTTGCTGATATTTTAACTATGATATGCAAAACATTTCTGTCTTTCATCATTAGTCAAGCGTCTTTAATCATCAAAATGAGCCATAAGATTAAAAAATTAAAGAAAAAATACATTTAAACACCACATTTCTAGAAATTGTCTCCTACAGAAAGAAAAAAGCATTAATACTTTAGATTTGTCAGTGTTTGTTTGCTCTTATGATTATGTTTGCATACAGTGTATTCACCATTTCAGGCCTGGACACCTGCTGACATTCAAATGTGTGCAGTGAAATGTGTGCCTTCTGTTTTAAGAACTTGTATTTGTAGTGCTGATCGTTTTTTAAAGCAGTTTCACATCTACAGCTGTGGTCCCAGAGGTATGTAGAGACGGGGCAGTAAGTCACTAAAGATGATACTGCATGTTTCAAAAAACAAGAAAACAGGAAACCTTCAAGACTCACTGGCCATTGTGACAATACTACAGTCACATTTATCTCAAAGTGCTTTACAGTACAAGCCATATTCACTCATTTCCACACACACACACATATACGCAGGCTTTTGATCGAGACACAGCATTTGCTCTGTCACACATACACTCTTCCAGAGAGCGCAGTTGCTTTAATGAAGGAAAACATCCAGTCAACAGCAGGGCAGAAATATCCAGTTTACCATCTGGATATCTGCTCTCAGATCTTAAGTGGGAGGGGCAGATTTGTCTGGGTCATATAAATAAAAATGCAGCTAAATGTTGCATGGAATTTATTCCTGTCTTTCTGCTTTCACTAACAAACATGTTCAGTTTGCTACCACACTTCCCACAAGCCTAATATTTATTTTTGTTCCATTAAAAATAAATGATTTAATGAACAGCTGAATTTTGACCAGTTTCTCCTAATCCCCAGCCTGTACTTATGATGAATAAGGAGAAAAGGACAAATCCAATGACACAAACTACCACTTAAGGTACTTTGATTACATCAGGAGAAACTCAAGAAAAAAGTCTTTATTAACAAAGTGATGGTTATTAGGTACCCAACTTACTGGCAGTCCTTCTTGTCTGGCGTCATTATGGGCAAAACCTATTTACTGCTTAACAATTTGGAAAATGTTACAAGCATGAGGATGATGTAACCCTGATTAATATTCATTTCATTAATAGTTTTTACAAAAGACATCAGGACATGACATAACTACACAAAGACAATTTTATGTGGTGAATACAGTTAATCTGTTATATAAACACGTATAATTTTAAATACATATCTGATGCCTGAGCTAGCTGCCACAATCTCATTTTCCTGTATTTATTTTGAGGCGTCACATTGGTCACGTGCTTATTTATTTAAAATTATGTGATGCAGCAAATAATGTGTATTTATGAGTTAAGACTTAAGAATATGATGCAGACTGACAACGTTACACACATCATAAAATTTTGACAAAGCATTGGTTTATATGGTCATATGACAGGACACTGCTGTATTCTCATTTAAAGCTTGATTGTAGATAGTAAAACTGATGTAACAAATTAAAAAGCTTATTTTTTTATGTACAGGGTAACATTTGAACACATATGTGAAATGTCTATATGCACAGCATTTAAGCCTATCTTTCTTTTCCAGACCAAAGCGGCAGAGATAATCCATTTGAGACATCCCTTGCCTCGTCTGGCGTATGTGGACCGCAGCTGATCTCAGTTCATACACACACACACACACACATACTCTCACTCGCTCACACTAAAAACAGAAGGAATTTATAGTTTTATAAAAAAGAAATTCACAAATACACATAGCTCGGGGATCTTGACTGAATCTGGCATCATGAGTCTTAAACAGCCCTGCATCTTTCTCAAAGGAGGCAAAAGGAGACATGTAAGTAAACATATGATTTCAGTTTGATCCTGTGACTTTATGGCTTTATCTTAAATTTCTAAATGGCAGATTAAAAGTAAGTCTATTTAAATTTCTCTTCTTTTTCTCTGTCAACAGAAATTCTTTTTTTTTTTTGGAATAGTTGTTTTGGTTCCTATGGTAATTCTTATATCGTAGAATTTTCAGCTAATGAGGAAACAGGCTTAAAGAACTAATTCTAAGGCCGATTTTTGCTTGGTTCCTCACCAGGATGGTTTTCTCTCATTTTCTTTGAATACATTTTCTAATTTCATAGTAATAAGACACTTTATACATAATTCTAACAAGCATAGCTTAACCAAATGAAGGCTATGATCTACACAGGACATTCTGCACAGGAAATGTGATCAGATAGATGCTGTAGCTAAAGAACATGCCATGCAAGGGTGTATATGAACATAATAATACATGCTAAAAATGTACCATTCAGGAATAAAGATAGCAACTGTTAGAAGAATATCCCAGACAAAAGTATAATTACATAAACAACTATGAATGTATTTCACTCACACAATTGTATTAAAGATTTTCATTTATCATGTCTGAGTGACATTGACTCCCTCTCACTTCTTAGCTTACAATATTTTATTGCAGTAATGTTTAAATAAGTTATACACACTTACAGATCTTAAAGTCATTGAACAAAAGCAGTTTCAGCTAATGTGTTATGGGTGTTCTTATTATACAGGGAACATGATTATATATTTGTATGCAGAGCTTAAGGAGCCTTGCAGAAATACACAGCATGCATGACTGTTACTTTTAGAAAGAGTCGTTTGTCCCCAGGGATGAGAATGTGTTGCGTGATTTGGTAACATCTGTCCAAGAACAACAGATGAAGAGTGCTTCATTGAGGCTGATGTTTACCAAATAGGTCAAATTTGTGGCATTACTGAAGCATTACTAATATCATTTTCATTTAAACTGTTTTGCAGTCAAGAGCACTTACACATGATGAGATAGAAGGTAATTATATGTTAAGCTTTCATATTTACTTTATAAAGGGTTGTATAATTCTTTACATTTCTCACTTTTCCTCAAATTGTATGCTCCCCAGAGTTACGTGAAGCTTTTGTAGAGTTTGATAAGGACAAGGATGGTTTAATAAGCTGTAAAGACTTGGGGAACTTGATGAGGACCATGGGTTATATGCCAACTGAAATGGAGCTGATAGAACTGAGCCAAAACATCAACATGAACCGTGAGTAATGTGACAACAAAGTAAAACTAAAACCTACAGTTTATTAACTGAAGAAAATCAAGTCTAACTATCACATTTTATGAAGAATAATACAGACAAATATAACAGTGACATTAAAAAACACCTTTTTTTCTGTGACACACATTTGACTTTTTTAAATATGTAATAAAGTCCCATATTTGTTGATTATGTTTTTGTTTTTCGCTTTTTCTTTTATTATTTTTCTACAAACACAAATAGAAACATGGCATCATTTCTTCTTAAAGTTTCTGGAAACTTGACTTGAAAATGGTTCATTAAAGCTGACATTTCCTGTTTCATATGGGTATAATAACATTAGTCATCATAATGCATTTTATGATCATTTGGCTCATTCTATGTCAGTGTGTGTACATATGGACATTTATGAAACCCATAGACACACTATTGTAAAGTATTTCATTCTAGTCCATCATCACAGGAAGACAAATGCCCTGCTTAAACTATGTTATCGAAATCTTATTGCAGTTGGGGGGCGGGTGGACTTTGAGGATTTTGTCGACCTAATGACCCCCAAGCTTCTGGATGAAACTGCAGGGATGATTGGTTTGAAGGAACTCAAAGATGCTTTCAAAGAGGTAAGCATACCTTTGACTCACTTTGTGGTCTTTGGCACCCCATGGTGGGCAGTGCATGAACTTACTTTAAAAAACTTTGTTAGAGCATGAAACTCATGCAGCAGAACTCTAAAAGGTTTGCAATATTTGGATGACTTCTTCCTCTTTTCTGCAGTTTGATTTAGATGGCGATGGTGCTATCACTTCTGATGAGATGAAACATGCTATGCTGAAGTTGTTGGGCAAACAAACCAGCAAAAATGAAATCGATGCAGTGGTCAAGGAGGCTGACGACAATGGTGATGGAACAGTTGACTTTGAGGGTAAGTTAAACAAACAGACCACAAAAAAATAATTTCATTTTACAGCAACTTTTTATATTATTTTGTGTTGCCTCACATAATAATATTACTATTACTATAACTGTGAAACAGGAAACTTAAAGAAAGAAGACATTGTGCATTCAGCTTAGTTTTAACTGATATAGTGCCAATTTATAACAACACTCACCTCAAGGAAAAGGAAATTAGTTTAACTTAAGCTTTTGTTGTTGTGACAAAAACATATTCAAAATTTGTCTTCCTAATACTGTGACAGTCCTCGGTAGAAAAACTTATTACACACGTATTTACCGATATTTCAATCTTGCTGGCAAATCTATGTCATCAATAATGCTGCTGCAAGGCTGCAACATTTACATAAGAATGAATAAATATTTGTAGCTTTACGGAGCAAGAAGAACATAGCTTATTGAAACTATGTTTATTTTCTTTACAGAGTTTGTGAAAATGATGTCACAGAAATGAGAACAAAGGAATGAAGAAAGGAGCGGATGTATTTTTATTACGTTTTCTGTTATTGTTATTTTGTAATTTCTGGTAATGGGCTCCTGCATCACTGCTAGAAAATGTGGCACTCATTATTTTTTTAAATCTTACTTATTAATTTATGGATTTGCTATTGTCAAAATTTGTTAGCTCTAGAAAGCCAGACCTGATTTTGTGTATTTGTCACTTGTCCCCTTCTTTCTTAATGCCCTAAACGTGTCCAAGTTAAAAAATGACAGGTTGTATCTGTGTCATTGTTTGATTTTTAAAATTTATAAATAAATAGAAAATATTAAAAATAGCAACTCTACAGTATATTAAGTTAATTTATGATCTGGACAGACTTGGTGGGCTGCAGTGCATACCGATATTTCATGCTGGAAGTGATTTACATTGCATGAATTCCTTCCTGGACATTTTCACCTATATTAGTTCTGCATGTTTAGCTGAAATTCTTGTTTTTGGCTCAGAAAAAGGATTGCAATTCATGTCAAACTACAAAAGGTCATTGATTTGCAGTTTAACTTAGCAGGGGAGTTTACTGACATGCTAATTATTGTATTCCCTGAACAGATACATGCATTTCCCCAGTTTTACTGCTAATCACCAGACAGGAGGTGTAGTCTAAGTGGTGCTGTGTTCTTGCCTTATTTGGATAAAACATCAGAGATTAGGTTTCTTTATTGCTCTGTGACATGTGAGATAATTAAAACATATGTGATGATTGTGGATTGTGGTAGAGATGCACCATTGTAAAAAAATTTTTTTTTGTTGTTGTTTTTGTTTTTTGTTTTTTGTTTGTTTGTTTTTTTGCTTTGGCACCTTTAAATTAATAATCATCATTTTCCATGACCAAATTAACATAATTAATACAATGTTTTGTATATGTGTAAAAAAAATGTGATATTTATTGAATGATGAGTATTATTTATACATGTTGTTGTAATGTTTTGCTCTTTGGTTGTGTCTCCACTGTCTGCTGTCTGCTCTCATGAGCTCAGTCAGGCTCAGCTGTATTGGGAAAAAGAAGAACAGGGCACAGATGTTACTCTGGGATGGGTGATATTTTCTTTACTGACAGTCACAGCTTGAAGTTATTTCCTCTATGATCAGGACTATGATCAGCCTGTTATGGCAAATAGACAGTATTCTCAAAAATATTTTATTCCAGACTGCAGGTTGTGTAAAGGTTGAAGTTGTTGTATCCCATTTTTCTCTCTGCAGCGATGACTTGGGTAAAAATCATTCAGCATCTTTTCTCTTCAAAGTCAAGATTGCAAAATCTGTAATAAACCTCTGAAGGATGGCTGTTTCCATGGAATTTTATTTATTACTGGAAATTTTTCTCAACAATTGAACAGTTGAATACCAATGACTGATGTAATTTCCAAACAGCAGACTCCCAGTGATAGTAAGCAGAGATTTATTTTTCAACCACTTTCCATATTAGACATCTTTCACTTTTGAAAATCCCTCTAGTTGCTAATTCTGTTGCATAACAAAAGAACAGCATGTGAGTTCTTGCATGTGACAAAGGCTATTTTCATCTTTCAGACTTACATGTAATGGTTGAGTTTCTAAAGACTAATATCAAGGCTGGTAATGACAAATAATGTGTGTTATAGAACTTTGTTACATTTTCAGAAAAAAAACTACTTAATTATTCTTTCTGACTGGATGACTAATAATATTGCAACATGCCATTAGTAGCATACAAATATCTCTACAATATAGGTTTAACTTTATTTTTAAATATTTACTAATAAAGTTTAATTAATTTTTTTTTTTTACTTCATATCTCTTCATTTTGAAAAAAATCTTCTTTTACTTGCTTTTAAATTGTTATACTATCTGCTAATGACTGTGAAAGCTTCATTATTTCTTCCCAGTAAATGTCCCCTGCTGAATGAATCATTCCCATACAACTGCATTTAAACAGTCTCGGGAATAATCTGCCTCTTTGGGATGGATTAGTTCAGTCAGTGTAATCCCCATCATGGGACCCTCACAGGAACAGATGGCAGATAAGACAAAATCGGCACACTAATTCTTATCTACCGACTAAAAAAAGGAAGCAAAAAAGGGCTAAATGACCTAAATGATTGGAAATGTGTTTCAGTATGATGATTGAATTAAAAGACACATTCATTAAAGTGTTTGTGTGATATGTTTTAGACTGCATACCTTTTTTTAGACTATAAACTTACCCATGTCCCTAAATAATTATTTTCACCTAAATAATTAAGTTTTGAAATATATACAAATAAGAATATTCAAATATTCAATGCAGCAACTTATTGCATTTAGACATGTAGAAACTGTCATGAAGAACTTACACCGTGGCCTGGTTGTTAGTGTCGAATGCGGTGGTCTGAGTATTTCATAAACTGCTGATCCACTGAGATTTTCCCACCTAAACATGTCTAAGGTTTGCAGACTATGGACCAAAAAAGAGAAAATATCCAGTGAGCGGCAGTTCTCCAGCTGAAAATGGCAGAGGTCACAAGAGAATGGTCAGACTCCTTAAAGGAAGACAACGGTGACTTAAATAACCACTTCTTATAGCCAAGGTATGCAAAAGAGCATCTCTGAATGCATAACATGTAATCGTAAAGCAACTACAGCTGCAGAAGACCACAGTAAGTCTTACTCCTGTCAGCTGAAAAAGGGGAACTGAGACTACATTGCACAGGAAAAATGTTCCCTGATGAGTCTCAGTTTCCAGTGTGACATTAAGATAGTGGGTCAAAATTTTGTAAACAGCATAAAAGCATAGACGCATACTGCCATCTGTACATCCGTCCATCCAGATGATAATTGGGCCCCTTGGTACCGACTGATTATATATAGCAAGACAATAATGGTTTGATCATTTATTTGGTTTTTGATTTCCAAACAGCATTGACAAAAGCCTCATATAGGACTGTGCAAAAGTTTTTGAGCCACACAACATCATCATTATTATTATTATTATTATTATTATTATTATTATTATTATTACAAAGAATAAACATGTTTATATTAAGTATTGAATTTTAAGCTTATTATAATTTTACAATTCTGTTTTGTATTTTCTATTTTTTACAATTCCTTATGTACTGAATTATCATGTGTGTTCTTATATGTTTCAATAAATCACTGCACCTTCGTCCCATTTTCCTAGTAAAATATAAAGAACTGACAGATGGATCAAGACTTTTGCACAGTACTATATGTTGTATAATATGTAAACCACTGCAGGGCAATCAGTTATAAACAAAACTATAGGAAAGCACTTCTAGATAGAAATATACAAGCATATACACAGAGGACTGTATGTAGGGAAAGAAAGAACCACAGTATATATTAGTCAAAATATTTTTGGCAATAATTTTGGAAAATAAAAATCATTTTATATTACAATTGTAATATTTATCTTTTTTTTCACAGTTTTTCTGGTTGAATCATTCCCATAGCATATCTGCACATGCATCAACAGTTGAAAATAAACTCCAGTAGTTTTCACATGCAGATTCACACAGCGGTTAATTTACTGGAATGAGATGCATGTCCCAGGACTACCAGGTCTAATGTAAGGCATCTCTTCATGTTGTATACAAGTACACAGATAAACAAAAACATTTTAGAGTTCAGGGCTGAACATGAAGTCCAGGGCTTGTCTCTCTGCTGCAGCCACATTTGGATGCCAAAGGTCCACACTTAAAATGACGCTGGGTCTAGAATCTGGAGGGCCTTTCAAAGGAGACGGAGATATAGTTTTAGCATTTAAAAAATGTAATAGCTGTTTATACTTATCTAAAACAATTCATAAAAATTGATCAGGAATCTTTTTTTTTTTTAATTACCCACCACATTTTACATCTTAACATTTGGTCATATGTTAATTAATAAATGCAATAAGCTAATAGATCACAAATTAATTCATTTGTCAAAGCCATTTGTGACTCACTGACCCTTGTGGGAGACAGTGTGAAGGAAGGAGTCATCAACCAGGAGGCAGTGTCCTTCTGACCAGCACTGAGGCTCCCCTCCCACCACCAGCTCGCACAGGGGTGGAGTCTGCAGACCTACAACAGCGACGTCTGTCTTTCAGCTTTGGTTTTAAAAACACAGCATTATGCTTTCCCCTTTACTTAAAAGGGCATGGCTTCCAACCCTGTTTTTATTTAAAGCAGCAAGGATTATAGCCAGATGGATCACATTACAAAAATGACGAGAGGGAACTGAACCTCAACCCTGACCAGAGAAGTATCACATTATGCAATGGTTTAGTATTTACTCTGTTTTTTCTTCTATTTCTCTATAGTGCAGCGAAGTCTGACAACAATTTATTATGTGCACCCAAACAGTTCCACCTTTTAATCTAAAATCCAATAATACTGCTTTGTTTTTGCTCGCACAGTGCATTATGTATAATGAACTAATAATTTACATAACTTGAGGTAGTTCCTGCACTACACACACATACATACCCTGAAGTCAAGTCCTACAGGTGATAAACCAGTGTGTGTGTGTGTGTGTGTGTGTGTGTGTGTGTGTGTGTGTGTGTGTGTGTGTGTGTGTGTGTGTGTGTGTGTACTTTTAAATATCATAAAAACAGGTCATTAGGTTGAGGGGGATAAATCCATGTATTAGTGTAGTGTGGATAGTTACAACAGAATAAACAGATTCCATTATCCACAATAACTATAAGTCCATTACATACCAAGATGACAACGCAGGCGTGTATTAGTGGGTCCATATGTGCTTCCCAAAGTTGCTCCAGGGCCCAGCAGCCAAAATCCTGCTGATCCCAATGAGTTGCTGTTTATAAAAGTACGTAAAGACAGAAGTGTCCGGTAGGTGCAGGGACAGGCACGGCAGTTTCCTGCCACAGAGACACCAGCGCTGTACAAAGGAAACACAGCTTGGCCCTGAAAAAGATAAAAGTCCATGTTTAACATTTGATACAGATCTTTTTTTTTCTAACAGTTCCGATCACAAGCTTACATCCACTCATCGTTGGCATGAAGTCAGTAATTTGGGGATTTTAATGATTTCTTGGAACTGTTCTTTTTCCAGGGTGGGATGATTTTACAGCACACATCTTTAATTGCTTTAGAAAACAAGAACTGGGTCCACACATTTCAATTTATTTTGGATTTTATCTAATCCACACAAAAGTATGCATACGGGCTCAAATATATACAAGTACTCACTTTAATATTTTAATAAGTGTTGCTGAAGCTTCTGTAATCCCCTTTAACATGACAAGGTCCAGGTCTATTAACTTCTCATTGGTGATAATAACCAGCTACAGCTTGACTGACCAATACTCAGAACAATAGTTATGCAGATGTGTCACCACTTTGCCAAGTAGGCACAAACTGCCACCCTCAGATGAGATGAAGCCAGTTTTACATTGCCATGAACTGAGAGGGTGACAAGCTAGAAAGAAGTCCCTGCTCCAAAATCAACACCTTTGAACTCGACTGAAATTTAGTCACAAAACTGAGTCCAAGCCAGAAAAAACTGTTTAAATTTACTCTACCAATTCTACCAAGACGAATAGACAAATATCTGGCCAGAATTTTGTCAGAAGCTTGTTAATGGCAATCAAAAGCACTGATGTGCAACTTGATTTAAACAAATTTCACTTTTACTCTGAGGCTGTCAGCATACTTTTTATGCTGTGGATTAGAGAAGATCCAAAATAAATTCAAACTTGTGCACCCAGTTCTTGTTTTTTTTAGTCATTAAACATGTGTGCTGTACAAACATGGCACCCTGGAAAAAGGACAGTTCAGATAAATCATTAAATGTCCCAAATTAACAGGGCATTCATGTCTTTGATGAGAGTAAACTAGAGACCACAACTGTACATTATGAGCCAAAAAAAAGAAAAAAAACAGTGAAAAAATAATGAATAATCAGAAAAATGCCATCATACTAAAATATATCTCAGGAAGTGTAGTAGATTTCCAGGACTTACCAAGTTCATTCCATGGTATTTTGAATGACAGATAATTATTTTTGGATGGTGCATTATATCACTTTCTCCCAGTTGGCCTGAAGGATTTTATTGCATACCTTTGGTCCTACACAGGTCCAGCCTAATTTTGAGTCAATGCCCTTCTGGTAAACAGCCTGGAATTCAGCCAAGATCGCAGGGTAGTTGACTTCCAAGACTTCAATGTCATGTCGATGAGCGTCACGTGGGAAGAAAGGCACACTTGGAACATCTGGCAGAAAGAAGAGATGAGGCTTCTGTATAGCAGAGTGATCATTCAGTCTGACCTAAAGTGAGACAAATGAAAAAGCTGTGATTATTTCTTGGCAGAGTTTTCTTTTGGTTTTTTTGGCTTCAAGAATACAGCTGTAAATCTTAAACCATTGTGGAACAACTCTTGCAGTCCACTTGGAAGCATACCTGCTCGCGGAGGCCCTTATGAATGCGGCCCATGCCCACCCAACTGTAGCGTTTGGCATACTGCTGCAGGGCTGTGTACAACTTCTTGGCTTCTGCAGATGCCTGGGCAGGGAACAAGGCATGACTCAGCACTGGGGTGAGGTAGCCCTGTCCTTGCTCATCGTCTTCCACTGTTTCCATGGAAATAAAGGGACTAATTTGATCGCTCCTGGACAGCTTGGATCGTGCACTGCACTTTGTTCCAATACAGCTACCGCTACGGGACATCATGGACCTCCTTGAGCTTGACTTGAGCTTTCCAGCATGCGCATGGCCTGGGATTGGCAGATCGGAGCCCATCCGATAACAGTGCCAAAGAAACAAAAGCAGTAGAGTCCACAGAAGGCCGCTCAGTGATTGTACACCCAGCTCCATATACGGAGTCAAGGGAAGCGTGTTCATTGACCAGTGCATCCTGAAATAATAAAATAGAAACAGACTGAGAGATAATACAACATGTGTAATTTGGCAAAGTTCTATTGCTACTTTACTTCTTTTATGAATTTAAGGAGTTTTACAGATGCCATCACACTTGTACTTTTTACTTGCACTTTTTGCATGGTTATGTTTTTAATTAAAGTGGATTCGTGTATTTTTTTTAATTTATGGAACAAAACAACAAGAAGATTTTTCCCACAGCTCTGTTTTTCTTGCAGTCCAAAGCAAACAAAAGACCGTCCTTGCCCAACCTATTTTATTTATCGTAATCCCCGTTCAGCGGCATGGGGATTGAGGTCGATGTCAGAGTGGACTTGAGAGTGGACATGTAGCTTTGGATCACTGGGTCACTTACCCCCCC